CCACTGCACTCCAGTCTGGGTGACAGAGTGAGACTCGAACTCAAAAAAAAAAAAAAAGTTCGATACGTAAAGCTTAATAAATCTAGAGTAAATCTGTAAGAGAGAAGATGACTTAGGCCTGAGAATTATAAGCAAATCCAATTTTGATCACTTCTTGAACATCTACTACATCTAAGACAATATACTTGGCTCTTCAACAGTTGAAGATTTACTTATCATTATTAGATTACTGGTGCCTTTAAGAATTTCTGTAGGTGGAGGTAGATGGAGGTGATTGTACTGGAGTAGTTTGAAGAATGTGAGTGGCAGCCTTCTTTTGAAAAGTTTACTTGTGAAAAGAAATTGAGAGAGGCCATCAACCTGAAGGGGCAGCAGAATTGAAATTTATTTTCTTTTGTAGTAGAAGTAATTTCAGCATGTTTGCTAGCACTGTGGAAGAAGCTTATAGACAGGAAGAAATATGAGATACAAAGGAGATTGAGTGATTGAGCAATACCCAGGAGAAGGTAGTTGGGTGGGGGAATCTAAATAAATAAGCCTTAGAAAGGAGAGAGACCATTAAGGCTTGAAGAATAGAAGTGAGAGAAGGTAGAAGTTTTGAATGGAGACAAATGAAATTGAGGTATGTCAAGTTGAAGTCCTTGGTTTTCGCAATAAGAGCAGAGTTGAGATCACTTGCAGGTAATGGAAGTGGTGGTGTTAGGAATTTCAAAGATTGGAGATTGTTTTGGGCAACATATATAGGATATAACAAGTTATGAAGCGATTATAGGATACCTGTGAAGACCTAGCTAAAGTCATCACGGATTGACAGTTTTTCTAAATGTCATTTTGTGATTTTTTTTTCTCTAGTTAAGAGCAGTTAGAGTAGTTTATTAATTAGCAGCATGAGAAAACATAATACCAAAAGAATGAACAATTTGGGAGGCTGAAGCAAGAGGATCTTCTGAGCCCAGGAGGTCTAGGCTGTAGTGAACTGTGATGGTGCCACCACACTTCAGCCTGGGTGACAAAGTAAGACCCCAATTCAAAAAATACATCATATATCTGTATTTACATATATGTAAATAGTATATAAAATTGCCTTCAGGCTATGTGTAGAAGGCATATATGAAACATAAATGAATTTCGTGTTTAGACTTGAGTCCCATCCCCAAGATATCATTATGTACACATATGCAAATACTAAAAAATCTGAAAAGAATCCAAAGTCTGAAACACTTCTGGTCCCAAGCATTGCAGATAAGGGATACTCAACCTGTATATACATATCGGGTTAAATAAAATATTTAAGAAAATTAATTTCTCCTGATTCTATGTTTTCAAGTGTGACTACTAGAATAAATTGATTTACATATGTGGCTTGTGATATGTTCTCTTGGAGAGCGACTTAGGTGATTCTTGTTTACCTACTAGATAATACCTACTAGTATACCTACTAGTAGTTAATACTTACTGCCCTGAAGTATTCAAAAGGAATACAGGCCTGTCTCCCCCCTCCCAAGAACTCACAGTCCAATGGAGGAGAGACAACTACCCGTGAAACAAAGTCACATGTCATTATGTGTCCTATTGTGTAGTACTCATTGGAACTAGTTTAGAGCTAAATAGAGTTTAGGAAGCTCCTGAGAGCAGAAATAACCAAATTTGTAGTGGAATGTGAAATGGATATTTAAAGACTAGTGAAAACTGAACCAGTGCTGGGGCTAGAGTTAGATTAGTTCCCTCTAAGCATATGGATGAATGCATGGCAGTTTAATATTGGCTTGTTTTTGAGACAAGGAGAGAATTGCCTAACCCAAAAGAGCATGTTTTCTTGTTAATGAATAGTGGGAAATTAAGTTAAATAGATAGGACAGGGCCAAGGGGCAGAGGACCTTAGAGGGTGGTTGGAGTCTGAATTGGAGCACACTGAGTATAATGTGAAGACTGGTTGACAGAATGGATGGAAGATTGTGAGGCTAGTTTATGGATTCAGTAATCATTGCTGGATGCAAATGTGTGGGTTTGATCAGATAATTTTAGAGCTAATGCCACTTAAAAGCAGAGGAATAGCAAAAGGATTTATTTATTTTTGGTTGGGGTCTCACTGTTGCCCAGGCAGGACTGTAGCGACATGATCATAGCTTCAACCTCCTGGGCTCAGGCAATCCTTCCACCCAAGCTCCTGAGTATCTTGCACTACAGGCATGCACCACCATGCTTGGCTAATTTTTTTTTTCTTTTGTAGAGATGGTCTCTCGCTGAGTTGCCTAGGCTGGGTTGCCTAGTTGCCTAGGTCTGGAACTCCTGGGCTCAAGCAATCCACCCACCTTGGCCTTTCAAAGTGCTGGGATTACAGATGTAGCCACAGTGCCTGGCTTTTTTTCTTTTCTTTTTCTTTCTTTTGAGTTGGGGTCTTGCTTTGTCATCCAGACTGAAGTGCAGTGGTGAGATCATGGCTCACCACAGCCTCAACCTTCTGGGCTCAGGTGATCTTCCCACCTTTTCCTCCTGAGTAGCTACCTGGGACTGCAAGCATGCACCACCACTCCTGGCTAATTTTTAAAACATTTTTGTAAAGATGAGGTCTAGCTGTGTTTTTCAGGCTGGTCTCCAGCTCCTGGGCTCAAGCAGCCCTCCTACCTCGGCCTCCCACATTGTCAGGATTATAGGAATGAGCCACTGCACCCGGTCTTGCAGAAGGATTTTATGTGCTGATGACTTCCAGATCTTTCTGTCCTTACGTAGTCCTATGGCCTTGATTTTTACCGATATGCCAGTGACTCCCAAACCCATTTTTCTTTTTTTTTTTTTGAGTTGAAGTCTCACTCTGTCGCCCAGACTGGAGTGCAGTGGCCGCTTCTGGCCACCGCAGCCTCGACCTGCTGGGCTCCGGCGATCCTTCTGCCTCAGCCTTCCGAGAAGCCAGAATTACAGGCAATGCGCTACCACGCCCTGCTGATTTTTTGATTTATTGTAGAGATGAGGCCTCGCTGCCCAGGCGGGTCTCGAACCCGCGGACTCGGGCAATCCACTCACCTCAGCCTCCCAAGGGCGCTAGATTACAGGTTGAGCCACTGAGCCCGGCTCATAACCCATTTTTCTAATCTTATTCTTAGTGCTGAGTTTGAGAACTGTATCTGTCTGCTTACTAGATATATTGCTTATTTGATATTGTCATGAAGATGCTAATAGGATGCTGCTTATATCTATTGCTCAAAAAAAACTTTGTTTTTGTTAAGAGATCTTATGAAAAATGATGAAAAGTTCACTTTATTATGTGTTTTTTTGGGGGGAGGGGAAGGTTCTTGTGGCAATAGTTGATACTAGTTTGGAAAGCCCAAGTTGAAGGACAAACTATTATTTGTGTAATTAGTAGCACATTTCACTTCTAATACCTTTTCAAGAACTGACTTCTAGCAGGCATATTCCACTGCATGTAAATCATTCTTTGTATTATCTGGGACCTGATTTACTTATTCCACTTCTCATTTCTCCTTTAAGGGAAATTACATAAGTATGCTCTTTATTACCTTACTGCTTGATACATTGAAACTGTCAATTTTTTTTTTTTTTGACTCAGAGTCTCACTCTGTTGCTTAAGCAAGAGTGCAGTTGCATGCTCACAGCTACCGCATCCTTGACCTGCTGGGTTCAGGTGATACTTCCGCCTCTGTTTTCCAAGTAGTTGGGACTACAGGTGCATACTATCATGCCTAGCTAATTTTTTGATTTATTGTAGAGACATGTCTCACCATGTTGCCGAGACTGGTCTTGAACCCCTGGGCTTGGGCAATCCTCTCACCTTGTTGTGAGCCACTGTGCCTGGCTGAAACTGTTAATTTTTGATTGGGCCCAAAGATGGGACTTTTAGCTGGGGGAAGGGAGGCAGGTTTTCTGAACAAAATTCCTCAAGGTATTTGGACATTCTCAGAAATAAAACAAAATTGTGGTGCTTTCTAAAAAGATCTTGGGCCGGGCTGAGTGGCTCAACCTGTAATCCCGCGCCTTGGAAAGCTGAGGTGAGTGGATTGTCTGAGCCTGTGGGTTCGAGACCCACCTGTGCAACTTGGTGAGACCTCATCTCTACAATAAATCAAAAAATTAAACGGGTGTGGTAACGTGCACCCGTAGTTCCAGCTACTTGGAAGGCTGAGGCAGAAGGATCGCTGGAGCCCAGCAGGTCGAGGCTGCGGTGGCCGGGAGCGACCACTGCACTCCAGTCTGGGTGACAGAGTGAGACTCCAACTCAAAAAAACAAAACAAAACAAAGACTCAACAAATCAACAAATAAAGACTCAACAATAAAAAGATCTTGGAAGGTATATATGTTTACTCCCATGTCTTTTTTTTAAAAACAAATATTAGTAAATTTAATCTTTTGATGAAGATACTTTAAGAATATGCTATTCTGTATTTTCTTTTTAAAAATACATGTTATTACATCTTTTACATCTCCTTTTTTTCAAGCGTGGTTACTCAGAGTACATTTTAAATAATCTTTATGTTTGAATAGGTTTTGCTGATTTGGGAAAATAAAGACTATGGATCAACTCGGAGTATTGTTCGTATTATTGGGAAAATGCTTCCTTTAGAACCTTGTCAAAGACCTAATTTAGGGGTAAGTAAACATGCATTTTTTAAGTAGTATGTGTAAAATAACTAAATATTTCTACAGATGCCTACATATATAAACAATAAAGGGATAAATGTTTTCTGCAAACCAAAAACCTTTAGTTTTACCCCTGGAAATAAGTCAGTTTATGTATTTTTTTGTTTATTTAAATCGTGCATCATTTAAAGACAGGATATGTCCTAAGAAATGCATCATTAGGCTATTTCATCACTGCAAACATTATAGAGTGCACTTACACTAACTTAGATGGTATAGCCTATTCCTCTCAAGCTACAAACCTGTGTAGCATGCTACTGTAATGCATACTGTAAGTAATTGTGACATGGTGGTATTCATGTATCTAAACATATCTAAACACAGAAAAAGTACAGTAGATGGGCAAGGTGGTGGCTCACACCTGTAATCCCAGCACTTTAGGAGGCCAAGACAGGCAGATTGCTTGAGCTGAGAGTTTGAGATCAGCCTGGGCAACATAGTGAAACCTCATCTCTACAATAAATCAAAAATTAGCTGGGCACGGCAGCATGTGCCTGTAGCTCCAGCTACTTGGAAGACTGAGGTGGAAGGATTGCCGGAGCCCAGCAGGTTGATGCTGGGGTGGCCATGAGGGTGCCACTGTACTCTAGCCTGGGAAACGGAGTGAGACTCCAACTGAAAAAATCATATACCTGTGTAGGGCACTTACTGTGAATGGAAACTGCAGTTGCTCTGGGTGAGTCAGTGAGTGAGTGGTGAGTGAATGTGAAGAAGGCCCAAGACATGACTGTGCACTACTGTAGACTTTCTAAGCATTGAACACTTAGGCTACACTAAATTTTTTATAAAAGCCATTTTTCCTTTAATAATAAATTAACCGTAACTCACTGTAACATTTTTACTTTATGCACTATTTCACTTGTTTAAAACTTTGATTCTTTTGTAATAACACTTAATGCACAAGCACATTGTACAGGTGTGCAAAAATAGATATTTTTTGTTTGTTTATTTGCTTTTTTCTTTTGAGTCAGGGTCTCACTCTATTGCCCAGGCTGAGAGCTAGAGTGCTGTGGCATGATCATGGCTCACTGTAGCCTTGACCTCCTGGGCTCAGATGGTCCTCCCGCCTCAGGCTCCTAAGGACTACAGGCATGTGCCACCACACCTGGCTGTTTTTTTTTTTTTTTTTTCTGTAGACATGAGTTCTTGTTATGTTGCCCAGGCTGTCTTTCTTGATAATCCTTATTTTGATAAGCTTTTTTTTTCTATTTTAAAAATTGTAAAATTTTTTTTACACTTTTTTGTTAAAAACAAAGACCACAAGTACACACAGCCTAACCCTACCCAGGGTCAGGTTCATCAATATCACTGTCTTCCACCTCCACACCTCCTCCCACTGGAAGGTCTTCAGGGCAATAACATGCATGGAGCTGCTATCTGATAGGATAACAGTGCCCTCTTCTGGAACGCCTCCTGAAGGACTGGCCTGAGGCTGTTTTACAGTTAACTTTTAAAAATGTAAGTAATAGGAGTACACTCTAAAATAATGATAAAAAGTATAGTAGATACTAGATGACAGGAATTTTTCGGCTCCTTTATAATCTCATGGGATCCACTGTGTATGCAGCCCGTCATCGACTGAAACATTATACTGCGCATGCCTGTAGCTACATTCACCGATGGGCAGGTATGAGCGACACCCGATGGGCTAATTTTATTGTGCATTTTATGATAGACGAGATTCACAAGGGGAGAGAGTATTCTATGTGCTTAAACTTTAGAACAACTTTTTCTCCAGTATTTTTTCTTGCTAACAGGTGCATGTTTTTCTATTGAATGTCCTTCTTTTTTCTTTCTTCTGGGTTATTAGCTTGTTTAATGCCATGGGCATGTGTTCTTCCCCAACTCTCCCTGCAGAGCTCTGACATGTTTTTCTTTTTACTTCAGCTGATCCCACTCTTGAACTCTGTAGACTCTGATCATTGTGGATCTGTGGTTCCATCTTTTGCTGATATTTTATGTGTGGCAAATGATGAAGAAGCCAATGATCTCAGATTTCGGTAATTTTATATGCTTATGTTGGGTAGTAGGGTGCAGGCTGTAACCTGAATTCTTGCATGTGTTGAAGTTTGTTCATATTGACTGAGCTTCTTTATTTTGTCTGTCTCTATACTGTGCTATGTCCTACTAATATCTTCTTAATAAGATATTATGGTTATGGTTATTTCTCTTATTTTTTTAAAGCTGATTTTTCTTAATGCACATTTAAACCTAACACTGGGCCTTGGAGGGGATGATTATTAAAGAGATGTCAGAATCATTATGTTCATTCTGCCTTCCATATTGGATTCTAGACTTACTATATTTTATATCTTTAGCTAAAACTTACACAGTGCTTACTGTGCATCAGGCAATGGTATTAAATATATTTTAAAATTCGAATGTGTTGCTGTAGGGAGCACTAACTTATGTGTTAGTATGTTGAGATACAGGCCTGAAGCACAATAATTGTCAATTATACAACTTATTCTAGTTAAACTTAATGTGTATCAAACTTGCTTATTAATTTTCAAAAAGGTAGAAGTCTATAAGTTTATCCATAATGTAATTCTGAATATAAGGCCCTTTGGGACCCTATGCAGAATTCTAAATAAATCAACTTCTCTGTGTTGAAAGTAAATAGGTAGAGCAATTACAGGGTAATCATTTTCATTTTATAATCTAAAAGCAAGCTTTGTTCTTTCATTCCCTGGCCACTTACGGGTAATCTGTCAGAGGCTACATTTTGTTCTTTGTGTTGAAAAACCAAAGCTAAAACTGTTGTGCTTGTCCTCAGTGAGTTCGGATTGATATCATTTTGTCGTTGTTTGCTTTTCATGAAAGAGTTTATTCCTCTTGATTGAAAATGACTCTCCTTCCATTTTTTCTTTCCTTTTACTCACAGAAGTAGTATATGGAAAAATGATGAAGAGGAGAAAATAGAATTTTTTCATCCCTTGCAACTAGTTAGGGACCCATTGCCACCTGCTCTGAGACATAAACAACCAGTGAAAACTGATCTGCCTGTAAATGAAGCTACGATGAAAAAAATAGCTGCCCTTGAAGATGAACTAACTTTTCTTCGCTCTCAGATTGCTGCAATTGTGGAAATGCGGGAACTGAAAAACGGTATAAATCCTGGCAAGTAACATTGGATTTTTGCTTCATTAGATGATACTCATGGTATAGCCTATTGCTCCTGGACTACAAACCCATACCATATGTTATTGTACTGAATACAGGACATGTAGTAATATACAGAACATCTAGTTATTTGTTTCGTTTTGTTTTTTTGAGTCGGAGTCTCACTTTGTTGCCCTGGTTCTTGCCTAGAAAATAATATGCATTATAGAGTGGATACAACAGTTTGAGTGTCTGTAAAACTACAAGTTGTTGATCACGTTTTCGCTTTTTTTTTTTTGAGTTGGAGTCTCACTCTGTCGCCCAGACTGGAGTGCAGTGGCTGCTCCCGGCCACCGCAGCCTCGACCCGCTGGGCTCCGGCGATCCTTCCGCCTCTCCTTCCGCCTCTCCTTCCGCCTCAGCTTTCCAAGGAACTACAGGCGCGCGCTACCACGCCCGGCTAGTTTTTGATTTATTGTAGAGATGAGGTCTCGCAGTGCCCAGGCGGGTCTCGAACCCGCGGGCTCAGGGAACCCGCTCACCTCAGCCTCCCATAGGCGGGATTACAGGCTGAGCCACCGAGCCCGGCTTGTTTTTGTTTTTTTTAATGGAGGATGATGTTCAGGTTGTATGTGAGTAACTGAAGTGACACTTTTTGAAGTGCATTCTCCTCTAAGCCTCTTTTTGGGCCTACAATGAAAATTCCTTCTTGGATTAAGAATGAATTCACAATTTGGCTTGACTCATAGAAATTACTAAGCAGATGGGATTGAATCTCCTTCCTGGCTGCCACATCCTTGCTGCCATATCCCTATTTTCAGGAGCATTACAAAAATTGCTCCTGATTTGGTTCTAACTGGTGGTATATATTATATCAGGGAGAATTTTGTGTGATTTTTAAACAATGACTTTGTTTTTAGGCTCCTTTGACTTGAGTGATGGGCCTGTTGCTTTGGGACAGATGCTATCACAGGCGGCTGCTCAACTGAATGTGCATCCTGACTCGCTTCCAGGCTTGGTGCTCTCATCTCCTCCTCCTCCACCACCACTTCCTCCTCAGTTTTCTTCTCTCCAGCCTCCGTGTTTTACTCCCATACAACCAGGACCTACTAATATTTGTGACTCGGATAATCCAGCTATTGAAATGAACAAACAGCACCCACGTGCTAGTAAGACCAATTATAGTCATCATTCAAGCCAGAGAAATAAAGATGTTCCAAACATGTTGGACGTTCTAAAGGATATGAATAAGGTTAAGCTTCGTGCAATTGATCGGTACGCTATTGTGATTTGAGAAATGAACTGAAATTTTATCAATGTATTTAGAAAAAGATCATTATGTTTATGAAAGTTAACATTATATGAATCTTTTTTATTATTTCTTTTTTATTCCTGAATACCCTTCCCAGAGATAGTCACATTTAATTCTTTTTATCTTCATATTTTTGAACCATTATTTTGCTGTTTTTTGGTATTTTAATTATATTTACTTTCCATTGTAGGAGATTAGGAATATATTCTCTTAAATATTCTATCCAGCACACATATATGCTTCTTTCTGATATAGTTAAACCACAGTCTTTAGTTAAATCAGTATTCAAAGTTTATATCCTTATTATAACAGTAAACATTCACAGATAAGCCATTTCATATAATTTTTTTTAAGAGTTGAGGTCTTGGGCAAGGTGCCGTGGCTCATGTCTATAATCCCAGCACTTTGGGAGGCCGAGGTGAGAGGACTGTCTGATCCACGGGTTCGAGACCAGCCTGGGCAACTTGGCGAGATCTCATCTCTACAATAAATCAAAAAATTAACTGGGCATGGTGGTGTGTACCTGTAGTTCCAGCTACTTGGGAGACTGAGGCTGAAGGATCTCCTGAGCCCAAAAGGTCGAGGCTGTGGTTGCCGGGAGCATGCCAGTGCCCTCCAGCCTGGGTGACAGAGGGAAATTCCAACTCAAAAAAAAAAGTTAGATCTTCTGTTGTCCAGGCTGGAGTGCAGTGGCGCAATCATAACTCGCTGCAACCTTGAACTCTTGGACTTGAGCAGTTCTCCTACCTCAGCCTTCCACGCTTGTCACTTTCAATAGCTTTCTAGCTTCCAGCATCGGGTTGCAATTCTTACCTACTGTCTCTACTTCCAATCTCTTTCTCCTTGTGGATACGTGTTTTTTTAATTTCTTTGCTGTCATTTTAGTAGGATTTTTACAAGGGATCTGTCATGCTTACCTGGAAACCCCTCAATGAGGTTTTTGGTGAGAAAAAAGATGTATTGTCTACACAATAGTGTTAGGACTGAGAAGTCATGTCAGTATCAATGAGGTTGTGAGTTTGATCCTTGTATGAGGCAGCTTCTAGAGAAAAATCTCAAGGCTATAGGTACTCGCTTGGTCCAAACTAGATCTTGTACTGGTATCATTGAACTTAGTCAATATAGCATGATGACTGTGTTACTGTTAACATCACTATAAAAACAATGAGAAAGCCACTAGACTCTACCTTTTATCCCCCTGTTCTCTCATTAGTTGCTTCTCCAACTAACTTTTGTTTCATAGGTTCATGAGACACCATGAGACACCTACACATGTCCTGCACAGGTTGTCTCACTTCCATCTTCTTGTTGTGGACATAGTGTCCCTATTCATGACCAGACTCTTCTCTTGGTCACTGGTTTCCCTTCTGTCTTCTTCTCAAGGCTTTCACTTAAAATGAGCTCTTCTGTCTTCTGTATCATCAAATCTTTCCTCTTTACTTTATTCTTCTCACACCTGAATATTTTTCATCTTCAAAACATGTGTACTCTCAGCTGTTGCTCTGTTTCTCTGTTCCCTTTTCTGATAAAAATTCTTGAAGTCTATAGTTTGTTTCCATCTGTCACTGCCTTCTATCCACTGTAATGTGATGTCTGTCCCCATCACTCCACTGAAAACTGCTATTGTCAAAGGCACCAGTGACTCCATGTGGCTAAATCCAATGGTTACCTCTCTCTTTCTTTCTTTTTTGAGTTAAGGCCTTACTCTGTTCCCTAGGCTGGAGTGCAGTGGTGCAACCATGGCTCACCACAGCCTTGACCTCCTGGGCTCAAGTGATCCTTGTGCCTCAGCCTTCCAAGTAGCTGGGACTACAGGTATACTCCACCTCGCCCGGCTGTTTTTTTGTAGAGACGAGGTCTCACGATGTTGCCTAGGCTGGCCTTGAACTCCTGGGCTCAGGCGATCCTCCCTCATCAGCCTCCCAAAGTGCTGGGATTATAGGCCTTAGCCACTGCGCCCAGCCCAATGGTTACTTCTCATTGTTCCTCTCACTTGATCTCTTGGCAGCATTTGATACAGTCTACGTTTTTCTCCTCCTCGGAGCACTTAAAAAATTGATGCACATAATATTTGTATATATTTATGAGGTACATATAGTAGTTTGTTACATGCATAGATTGTGTAATGATCAAGTCAGGTTATTTAGGATATTTGTGCCCTGGAGTATTTATCATTTCTTTGTGTTGGGAACATTTTAAGTCCTCTTTTCTAGCTAGTTTGAAATATACAATATATTGTTGATGACTGTGGTCACCCTGCTCTGCCATCAAACATTGGGACTTGTTCCTTCCACCTAACTGTGTGTTTGTACCCACTAACCGACCTCTTCATTCCCTCCTCCCACTCTCACACTCCTCCCTTCTTCTGGTATCATTCTACTCACTACCTCCATGACATCATCTTTTAAATTTTTTAGCCTGTTTCCCAGGCTGGAGTGCAGTGGCATGATCATGACTCACTGAACTCCTGGACTCAAGCAATCCTCCCACCTCAGCCTCTTGAGTACCTGGGATTACAGGTACACACCACTGTATGTGGCTAATTTTTTAAAAATTATTTTTTTAGAGATGGGGGTCTTGCTCTGTTGCCCAGGCTAGTCTCAAACTGCTGGCTTCAAGTGATCCTCCCACCTCTGCCTCCCAAAGTGCTGGGATTATAGACGTGAGCCACTGTACTCGGCTGACTTTTTTAGCTACCACATAGGAGTGAGAACATGCAGTATTTGTCTTTCCGTGCCTGACTTATTTTGCTTAATATAATAACCTCCAGTTCTGTCTATGTTGCTGCAAATGGCAGGATTTCATTGTTTTTTTTATGGCTGAATAGGATTTAACCAAGACCACTAGCCAAGTAATAGTTGACAAATCCCAAGTCATAATAAGCTTGTGGGTGAGCCCAAGTCACATGGTTTCTTGGCTTTCTGATTCTCACTTCATTGTGCTCTCCAGATTCCATATTCCATGGCAAAAATGTCATGTGGACTAATTAGATTGTAATGTATCATGCTTGTATTCCTGCTACGTTTGTCAACAAGGAGCTACGATTACATCAAAGTCTTAAATTACTCATTTAAATTTTTTTTTAAATAGGTCACCAGGCGGTAGACCCATTTGTAACAGGAAAAGACAAAGTTTACATTGGGACCCAGTGTCTATAATATCTCATGCACTTAAGCAGAAATTTGCATTCCAAGAAGATGATTCCTTTGAGAAAGAAAATAAATCTTGGGAGTCTTCCCCATTTTCTAGTCCAGAAACTTCAAGGGTGAGCTATAATAATGTAAAATTAATTTTTTTATTTTTCTCAAGTATACTGTTCATGATAGAGCATTTCATTCAAGTTCTCTTAAAGTAATTATGCAGAATGGGTTATACAATTGTCTGTTGATGCTGCTAATGTTTCAATTGTTTTGTTAATTTGACATGCTCATTTTCAGTTTTAGTCTAGTATGAGGTCTTTTAAAATAGAACACTTACATTGAACAACTTGTGCATAAGTTTATAATGATTTATCCTAGACATTTGCCAATTTGATGCTGCTGTCTGCTGTGTGAACTGAGCGTGTGAAACTTTGAGAGGCCCAGGAGAGAATGGTGCAACAGATTGACCATAACCATGAGGAAATGTGAATCCTTTGATATTGTTCTCAGTCAAATATAAAGACTTTGGATTATGTAGTTGAACAGAATGCTAACTCTGTTTTTAAAAATGTGATAAGATCATAGTTATCTTTGATGACGGTGCTTACTTGATGCTTAGAAGGATACATACTGTATTGTAAGCACCGGATCCTTAAGGTTGCTCCTTACTTGAAGTATTTTCTTAGATTTAGAAGTCATTCTCATTTGGGAGAGGGTTTTCACGTCTCATATTTTAGTTGAGGCAGCACCTAAGAGTAAGCCCTGGGAATGAGAGTGTGGAAGAGGCCAACGTCTGAAGTCAGGTAGAGAGCACTGAGGGGCGAGACACCAGCAGAGGAAGAGACCGGGAAACTAAGGCACAGGGCCCTCAAAGAGCAGAATGGCCAGGGAGTCGTCCTGCTCACATTCCAGCATGTGCAGTCTCTGAGGTTACGCATGCACGTGTGTGTACTATAGCTAATGTTCAGCATGTTGACTCAGAAAATTATATATTCTTTTAGCTATTTAAGCTATTTAAGCGGCCACCGCATTCCAGTCTGGGCGACAGAGTGAGACTCCGACTCAAAAAAAAAAAAAGAAAACAAAAAAGTATGTAGTTTACTTTAGCACTGTTACCATCAGAACTGTAAATGTGTCTAAATGTCTAATTTTAACATTTGTGTAGCAATTTATAGCTGGCAAAGTACTTTCCTCACTCGTCTCATTTGTTCTTCACAGCAGTATTTCCCCCCATAGGTTACTTGTTTTATACACGAGGAAAAGGAGCCCCATAGTGCCTGTAATCCCACATCCAGGGGGCAGAGCAGAGACTAGAACGTGGTTTATTAAAATTCTAGGAGATTTGAAAACTCGTTAACTAAGACATTCACTTGGCTGGAGCACACAGTATATTCCAGTGATAGTGGATCGATAACATACTCCTGGGTTGTCGTATACTGCTTGTTCAGTGTCTCTTAGCACTTTCTTTCCAAACACCTACGAACATCTTAGAGAAAGAATAATCCCTTTTGATATAGTTTGTAGCATCTACTTTCGACTGGACACAGAGGGACTTAGATTGTCGTTGCCTGGGAGCTCAGCCTGTCTGCTCGGCGTGTCTTGCTCAGTTTTCTGTCCTTGTTTCTGAGCACAATCCCTGACATACAGCTGACTCTCAAATCACTATTTGCTGTTGACTGAATTAAGCCTCAGAGGGTTGTCTGGTGCTTGTCTGGTCATTCTTTTTTACATTACAGTAATTTTTGTGTTAAACATTTGCTTTATTTCAGTTTGGGCATCACATTTCACAGTGAGGAGGACAGTGAACTAAGGAAGAACTGAGAAACACAAAAGCTGTTGACTAAAGTATCAGCAGCAAAAGCTGTGTCCACACTTTGAAGGAAAGACTGCAGAAACATACCAGCCTGTCACTGTGTTTCCAAGGATCTTTTTTTCCATTAAGTGAAGTTAAATGAAGTCTCTATACTGGGATATATTAATATAGAGAGGTCTGAGGAGTCTTGACTTTTAAGAATACTTGCCTCTAGTTTTGGAAGATCCAGCTATTAACTGGTTGCTGATGATAGTTGGGGTACAGTTTTTTAAAAAAATATATGTTATTGTTGAAAGCGGAATACATACTTCAAATGATTGTCTTAAGCAATTATGACTTCCTAATTTAAGAGCCTTTGAATCTTTAAAAAATTGGTAGTGAACTGGTTTACTTGGCCTCTAGTAACTTAGAGCTTTTCAAAGAGGATTAAAAATTAAAACTTGGCTGGGTGTGGTGACTCACGCCTATAATCCCAGCACTTTGGGAGACCAAGGTGAGAGGATTGCCTGAACCCATGGAAGACTTTTCTTGATGAGTTTTATCTATACCTGCTATGTAAATATGTATGCCTGTCATTTTTGTTTCCTTTGTTCCTTATGACATAATTTATACTCTGTTCCATTGTAAATAAAGTGTAAAATATGGCTTTTGAACTTGGCTGTGTCTTCATGAAGTCTGACCTTTTTCTCTTTGAACTTTTTTTGTGAGGGGGAGTGCTTTATTCTTTTGAGAGAGTCTTGCTCTGTTGCCTAAGCCAGAGTGCACTAGCACTAGTGTGAACATAGCTTATTGCAGCCTCAATCTCTTAGGCTCAAGTGATCCTCCAGCCTCATCCTCTTGAGTAGCTGGGATTACTGGTGTGTACCACCATGCCTGGCTAATTTTTTTTATTTTTGTAGAGGCGAGGTTTTGCTATGTAACAGACATATTGTCCTTCATCCACATACTAATGTGATAGGCAAATTTACATTTCTTAAGACCCTTTGGCCTGTGCAACAGCCAAGGAGCTGAGATTAACATTTTAGTAGACTCAGCATCCGCCATTTTGCCAGGCTCTTCACTCTTTCAAAAGCTCAGATTGCGACAGTTTTGTTGTTGTGGCAGAGGATAGGTTGCCCCGCCCCACCTCCTCTCCCAACCCCTTTCCTTCTGGCCACCTTCTATGTGGGAGTGGCCATGCCGTAGTCATCTTATGACCATGAGGAAGAAGCTTTAAACCGCAGAGACTCAAAGCCTGACACTGCTGAGCTGTTGAACCAACCAGACTTCTTGTTATAAGAGAAAAGATGAATGAGACAAATATGCCTGTGGTTTTTCTGTTACTTGCAGCCAAAAGCATTTGTAATATATCAAGTCTAGGAATGTAGTTTTGATACCTGCCTGTTATTTCTTCTGTGATTGTTTTTCAGTACTTTTTAATCCTGCCATTGATAGTTTGTTTTTGCTGTTTTTCCTGTACCCTCCTATATTTTTTCCCTTCCCTTTCCTCTTCTCATTATCCTTGATAGTTCTTTTTCCTTGAAATAGCTCCTTTTCATCCTCCAAGGTAAGCAGTCTTGCATTTTCAGTTTTTTAATTCCATTGTTCAAAAATGTATAATCAACAGCCCCTCCCCCCAAACCAGCGGAAATCTTTAGAAGATACCATCCTCTGCCAAGTAAAGTCTATTTGTTGGCAAACCTCAACTAGATTTTTTGGACGACTTTTCTGTTCAATTTCGGAAGGAATTTTCTGCCTTCCCAAAGCACATTTAGGTACCAGTGCATCATGGGGATTGAGCTGAGCTTGGGCTTTCCTTTTTTAGAAGTACGACACCTGGTGATCAGGGGACCATGGCCATGTGCCCTAGAATCCCCTTCAGGAGTGGCCTGAGTTTGGACTCCTGGTAACTTGTGTTCACTATAAAGTTCCTGTGAGTCAGAGATTCAGTTTAGGGCTTCACCATCAACTTAGATACAAAATGACCTAATATCATATTGGATAATTTTTTGGAACTTACTTATATTGTGACTGCTGCAAGTTTCTCTTGCAAGTTACATAAATGTTAGCTTCTTCCTGACTAAAATGTTCTCTGTTTTATCCTGGAAAAGTCCCTTCTCCTTCCTCAGATTCCTTAAACTGGGTTGCATTCCTCTTCCCAATTAGCTGTGAGTTCATCTCTATGTACCAAGGTGTTGGAGCAAGGGCATTTGACAAAACATTCTGATACTATTTTATATTTGGAAAACGAAAAAAAATTTATGATACAGACTCCAGAAAGAACACTGTTCAAAATTCTGACGGATTGAGATGTGCAGATGACAGTGGTCTTCAAGGCAAGGAGGGAGTCACAACTTCCTAGGAGTGTGGATCAGTCTGAAGGAGGGGACCCCAGATTGAACTTAGTGGCACAGGGCTGGCTGTTGGAGAGAGCATCGTTTGATCTTACTTTTACAAGAGAATATATTTGTGCTATCATTACGAAATCTAAATAAAGCTTTCTGTCTTAGTCCATTCAGGCTGCTGTAATAAAATCCCATAAACAGAGTGGCTTATAAACAGCAGCTATTTATTTCCTTGTGGTTCTAGAGGCTGGCAAGTCCAACATCAAGGCACTGGCAGTTTCAGTGTCTGGCGTGGCCGGCTTTCTGGTTCATAGACAATGCCTTCTTGTGCTCCTACATGGTGGAAGCGGATAGCTAGCCCTCCAGAGTTTTTTTTTAATAAGAATACTAATCCAAATCTTGAGAGTTCTTCCCTTATGATTCTAAGCACCCCATAAGGCCACAACTCTTAGTACCATCACTTGGGAGGGTGGGTGGGTAGGATTTCAACATGAATTTTGGGGGAACATTCAGGTCATTGCTAATTAGGTTTTGGGAGAAACAGACAGTTACATGGAGGATAATTTGGATGGCAAGAAGGGAAAGCATTCTACATAGATTTTGCTGGCTAGAAAGCACGCAATTTCCTCAGATTGGAGAGGTCAGGTATGCAATGGATTTATTTTAAATTGGCCATCTCCCCCCCCCAGAAAAAAAAACTCCAAACAGGTCAAGAAGAGTGAAGTGTGAGATTTTTTTTTTAATCAGAAAAAGGCTCCTGCAGGTTGGTTTCTCTGGGAAACCCACTCTGAGTAGAGGTGGCTGTGTGGGAAGTCTCTCTGGGGGTGTTCTCATACCCCTGCAAGGGAAGGAAGCAGGAATGGGAGATGAGGCTCTTGGACTTTGATGTCATCGTCACAAGGGCCTCCACAGATCCCCTGAGCGGCTCTGGAGTTGTCCCCATCACTCTGGGGTTGTTGAGTCTTTACACTTTCCTGTTGACTAAACACTGGGGGGAGGGGCATGACCTTGAACAAAGCAGTCTTCTTGGGCCAAGGGCAATTTCCATTGAGAGTTGTCAGGTCTGAAGATGGATCATGGTGGTGCCTCACAGTTCATTACAGACATGGATTCTAAAGATGTCAAAAAGCTCACCAAACAGACTTAATAGCTTGCCTTACACTGCAGTTAGCTTGAGTCATGCAAATTGTCCAGAATTCCCGGTACTCACTGCCTGTCATCCTTCAACCAGGCTAGTTCTTTTACTTATCTTTTTTTTTTTGAGTCAGAGTCGCACTCTGTTGCCCAGGCTGGAGTGCAGTGCCATGGTCATGGCCACCATAGCCTCAACCCACTGGGCTCAGGCAATATTTCCACCACCACCTTCCAAGTAGCTGGAACTACAGGTATGCACCACCATGCCTGGCTAAGTTTTTGATTTATTGTAGAGACGAGGTCTTGCCAAGTTGCCCAGGTTGATCTCGAACCCTTAGGCTCTGGCAATCCTCTTGCCTCCGCCTCTGTCTCCCAAAGTGCTGGGATTACAGGCGTGAGCCACCCCTCCTGATTACTTGTCTTCTTGAAAATGTCTGCTTTCTAAAAATTGAAGATAGAGTGGGGTAGGAAAGCCTTCCTGTCACTAAAGAGCTATTCCTGTCAGCTCCCCAGTTGTCTGTGCCCACAGGCTTGCTTGTGGCCATACCCAGCAACTTCTATAGCAACACAAGGGAAACTAGGGGTGGGCAACCTATTGGCTGGTTGGCCACTGCTTTGTCCTTTTTCTCTTCATGAAAACTTCAGCAATTATCACATCATGAGGATGTATCAGGAGAACGGAGTTACCACTTCCTGGACTTCAGTCTCCTCAGCTGCTCCTATCTTATAATGTCACTCATCTATTTATTTAGGCTTTGCCTTACGATAGGAAGAATTTAAGGCAGTTTACAAGGATATGAAATGCAAACAAAATAAGGTAACAAGAATCCAAGAGAAAAAAAACTTCAGGCTGCAGTTTTCTTTATTAACCACAAGAGGACAGTATAACACCGAGGGCACCCAGGCTGACGGCCACTGCTAACCTGTGACCACATTCAGATATGAAATTTTTAGAAATTATAGACGAAGCAAAGGTTAGATGTAGTATTAATTGCAAAAGCAGCTTGTTTTAGAGGGAACTCACAAATTACAATACAGCCAAATCCTTGATATATCTGAGATCATTCATGCCATTAGGCTAATTCAACCCTTTTCCCAGCAATATAAATATTCTCTTTGATCAGTGATGAAAGCCAGTGATGGTATTGCTTAATTGTTAAACTTCAACATTACAGCAGGATCTCCACAAGTTCTTTAGTTTGAGTACAATTGTTTATTTCACTACTAGGGAAAACACAAGGTTAATTTTGAATAATTACAGTTTTTGCTTCTATATGAGTAAAGATTGGTCAATTAAAGTGGTAGAATTTTTTAAAGGTTAGTTAGTAACATTTTATTATTCTTGTTATATATATTGTCAAATTTTTTTTTTTTTTTGTAAAGATGTGGGGTACAATTCAGGGTTAGGTAAAACGTTGATTATGCAGGTACCCTTGTTGATGAAGTATACTCCTCCCTCCCCTAGCGGTTTCCCTCAACTGCCAATCCCACCCACCCCCGACAGTTTCCCACTACTGCCAATTCCTTTCTTAGAGTATTATAATTGTTCAAGGTCCGCTTATGAGTGAGAACATGTGATACTCTGTTCTTTGTTTCTGTGATAGATCACTGAGTGTG